GGGCATAAGAGGAAGTGTTATTATAAATTTCAAAATCATACGTTTTGTCGTTGAGTGAAAAAGTAAACAAACTGGAATTGTATATTATCTTACTGGAAAGTTGGAGAACTGTTATCTAGCCTTATAGATTGTAAACAAGTTTTTAAATCAAAAAACATCACAATGGTAACTATTTTTTTAATTTGTTTTTTTTTTTTATAGTTGACCAGTTAGGCGAAATATCCAGTAAGTTTTTTTGTAAAAATTTTTTTGTAGGTAATAACATAAATTATAAACATATACAATTGAATACTACACTAATTTAAAACAAATAAAAATATTTATAGGAAACAAATGTATTCCAAGTCCAAATAAGTATTGCTTTAATATATCCTACACTATGGATCCTTAGTAAACATTAACATGATTCAGATGCATTTCACCAATACGATGACCTTGAATAAACGATGTTAAATTACATAGCAGAAATATAATTTATATTTAAAAATAAATAAATATTTTATAAATCACATTGCTCAATTAAAGACCGCATTTTTTTTTCCACTTTCATAGATTTAAAGTAATGTTGTAATTTACAAATGTAATGTAATGGCATAAGTAATCAAAGTAGATATTTATAATTTCAAGAAAAATAAAAAAAAATTGTATTATTTTAAATTAAAATATTATTATATTATAGGTACCTAAACATAAAACCTCTTTTGTTTATAATTTATTTTGAATTTTGATCGAAGAGTGAAATATTGAATTTACAGTGATGTGATATTTAATTTTTTGACATTATTCGTTACAGTAATCTTGATTGTCATTCCGTTAGAAAATACGGCTTCTGAGCTTTCCATTGCTACACATCGACCAGCCAAACATATTTTGCGGTCCTAATACGCCGGTAACTCAGTATTTCGTAATTGAAGTTGCCGACTGTGCCCATTACCCTTGTCCAAGGTTAGAGGTTAGGTTAGGTTAGGTTAGGATAGGTTTTTGTTTCCTTTCGCGGAAGAAATGCGCAAGTAGTCCCCGCGGCGCCGTCGGTTCAAAACTGGAAAAAAAAGGTTTTTTTTCCCCTAAATTAGCCGGATTTTGCCCAATGTTAGTGCGGCGAAACTTGGTAAGCAAACCCTCATGGCAAAAATGGTCCACTCGCTACTTCTGTATCATATGTTATACATTTCTTCCATAGTTTTTCAAAATGTTTGTATTTAACCTAACGTTTTCTGCTCGCTATACTTTTTCGGCGCTGTTCACGCTCCTAAAACGTTCCGCATACCCTTTTGAGGTCGTTGGAGTCGGGTTTTCTATCGTTCGCCGACCGTGGGGCCCGAGACTTAACCATTTAATTAAATAAATAAAATTAAACAATACCTACTTAAAACTCAGAAATTATGTCCCCCAAAAAAGGTCATAGTCGTATACTTTTAAATTGCGGCCTGTGTACTTTTAAAACAGGTATCTAAATACTTTTAAATTTTAAATAACGATAAACGCAAAAATTGTATAACGTTTTAATTATGAATAACGATAAACGCAAAAATTGTATAACGTTTTAATTATGAATAACGATAAACCCAAAAATTGTATAACGTTTTAATTCTGAATAACGATAAACACAAAAGTTGAATAACGTTTAAATTTTGAATAACGATAAACTCAAAATTTGTATAACGTTTTGATTGTAAATAGCGTAAAACAAAATTTATTTTTCAAATGCAAGCTCTGGCATATATACATATTTCTTTTTTTTGCATTATATTACTTTGAGTTTTTAGTTTTGTACTCGGTAGTCACAAGGTTATCCTATAATAGTATAATATAGTTCCTCGGTCTCACCATAGGTTGCTCATGTTGCAGGTAGTCTGATATGCAATTATAGAATAGAAGTGAAGTTAAACGTTTGTCGACGTCGTTCCAATCAGTCTGTATTTACATCCACAGATAATATACTACCAAAGTAATCACCCAATTACATGTTCATGTATATAAGGGCAAATAAGATGAGTAGGTCAGTCAATGTTGTTAACTCATAATAAAATAGTATATTGATGTTGTATATTAAACACAATATAAATGTAGTAGGTATATTATAATCAGTTAAGCGCACAAAATGTGAAATCAGAATTAAAAAGTATCGTTTAGTTGACACCTAGCTTAGAAGGTCTTACGTTGTGGATCCAGGGTTGTTTTGAATTTTAAATGTAATAAAAAAAAATTTTTTAAAAAAAAGAATTATTTGAAAGACAAATTTAATATTTTGAAAAAAAAAACAAAACAAAATTATTTTGAAAACAAGAAAAAAAAATTTTTTTTCAAATTATTGTTTTTTTTTCTTCAAATAATTTCAAATAATTTTTGTTCATTATTTTATTTATTTGTTCATAATTTCTTTATATTTTTTTTATTTCATTTGTTTTTCAAATTGTTATGAACGCACTTAGGTGTTTAGTCACAAATAAATATAATCACAACACAAATTGAAAAGAACTAGATTAACTTTATTGGATGTCATTAATAACAGCCTGCAGATGCTTCTAAATTAGTATATCATTTTGCCGAAAGGGTTTGCTTCAGGGGTTCTTAACATTCACAACAAAATAATTTCAAATAATTTTTATTTTTTTTCAAACTTATTTTTTTTTTCCTTTTTTCAAATTATTGTTTATTTTCATAAAGGAAAAATATATATAATAGAAAAATACTATATAGAATGTAATAAAATTGTAATACAAATATAAAAAGATTATAAATGTCAAAAAAAAAATCTTCACTTAGTCAAAAGGCTTGAAAACAAAATTCCTTGTAACTTGTAAGATGTTCTTATAGCTATTTCAAAATATTAAAGTTGACAATTTTAGATTAAATTAGATAGTTAGACAAAAATGACAATTTAGATATTTTATCTTAATATTTAAAAATATTATTTATGGGTAATTTTAAGAAACTTTTAAGTACCGTTATAACTTATAAATAAGATTATATTTTACACACACTTTAAAAATGTTGAAAAAATTAAAAAAATATTTCATCATTCTACTTATACAGCCTTTTAGAGTTTCTAAATTGCTGATTTTGACGACCAATAAAATTAACTATTTCAAAAACGTAATTTATAACATGGGTATTATCGAGTATTTGATTTTTTTGGTTATTGATATCAAAGTCAATCGATTTATCATTAGATGATTGAATAATGGATTCTACTGAGTTTCTGTGGGTTGACCCTTGTTCGTTTATTTTAACAACTTCATGAATATGTTTGAAACTATTACAACTATTAGAAAATATAATAACAGATGAACCCAATGCATTACAAAATGGACAGTTTAAAGCTTTGAGCTCATTTATAACATAGATAACTCTTTTCGTGCAATTTTTTTGTTATCTAGTGTCTTTCTAAAATAAAGAAATCTTGTATATAATATGTATAGTTGTATGTATACAACACATTTGCACGTGAATGCAGGATAATAATATACAGTTATTGCTACACTAAATAACAAGCCTCACTCGGTCCTGATTGTTCCAAGCTCCAGGGGGAGTTCAGCCCAAGTCACCGGCGCTAGTCATCATCTCAAGTTTAGCTCTCCACAGCGGTATTCCCTGCCCCTGTACAACCCATGTGGCAATCCTCCGTGTAATTGATGTGAATTGCATCCTTTGTGTATAATCTTGAGTCTTATGTTTGTTAGTGAGTTCAACGTTGTGTGCCTAGCGGTTAAGCTGTGAGTGTGCGGGATCACTTCTAACCAACCTAACCTTTGTACTGTATTATTATATTTAACTACAGATTCCGGCCCTCCAGTTCGCTATGACTTAGGCTGTGCACATCAACAAGTATAAAGACGAAGTGGTCCCAGGCTTTATATTAAATTATCAATTATTTATATGATAGGTACTATGATACCTACTTGTGACAATATATTTTCAAAGCAACTATAAATTATAAATGTATAATATACAATAAATTATAATATGGTTCTGAGAGCAGATCGGTTAAAGCCACAATCGCTGGCATTTCATCAAAAATGTCCGCTTGTCGGTAGATACCTACTTATTATATATAAAAGATTTTCTGTGCGCAATTCCAGTTAAACTATATTCGTCCTATAAAACTTTGTTCACGGATCAAAATCAAGACTTGTCCACTTCCAATGACTGTATTCACATTAGATTCCTCAAAAATCAGTACATTAATTATTATTTATTATTTAAGTTTTGTATGGCCCTCAAACATTGTTTTCAAATTATCTGGAAATTAATTGCCGATCACTGCCCTAACCTGTCGTTAATCTTTAGAAATCCGCTGTAGGTATTCGCTACAGAGTTTTCCCTGCGACTATATTCGATAACATTTTCTGTGAAACACGTTCAGACGAGAGCCCGACGAGGCCGGTCCGACGACACAGCCTGTAGCGGCTTCCTTTCCGTTCCTAGTAATGTTATAATAACCATAATAATACTCATTTCAGTCATTTGACTCGTCTTGTTCTCCAACGGTGTGCGTCAGTGTGTAGCGCACGCGCCGAGTCGACTATAGAATAAAATTGTTTCGAATAAAAAACAAAAAAAAAAAGCACACAGAATGAACAGTCGGACGCGCGTGGAGTTATTTATAGACGTGTGCTCTGCACCGGAGTTAAGTGATGTTTTTACGTTTTACTCTTGTTACACACGGCGAGCGTACATCAGCGCTGCCACAACAGAGCGATCAAAATGCACATAACGCTATTGTATGAATACGGCATGGCATTTCGACGTTGCTTCTCATTTGAAATGAATATAAAAAAAAAATATATCGCCAAAATTGAGGATCTAAGGATTTTCAATCGCCACCGAGGATAGTAGGCTCGTATATCATATTATTATGGGTAACACCACCCACCTAATTTTAACAGCGTCGGTCGACAGTGCAGACACTCTGTATGAATATACTTGTACGTAATACATATATACACAGCAATAATAAGTAGGTATACGCTGTATACTGGCACGTATTAATACTATTAGACGACGACGATTTCGACGAGTAGTGTTGTGTAAGCTCAGTTGCTCGGCGCTCGGCTTTTCGCGGTCCGTCCACGTCGTCCGGCGGCTACTTTTTACACACAGTACGTAGTCATAACATATTATTATTATAATAATATTGTGGGTCGATTTTATATTATTTGTACACGGTATATTATGTCAGAATATTCATCGGAATTTTTAGTTTCTAAACATTATGCTGTTCAGGTACGAGAGCCAAACAATCGCATAAAAGTAGTTGTCGGACGAACGCTTTAAGGATAAGAAATATGGATACCAATAACAGTCAGGGTAATAACAATAACAACAGCGGAGTCGATGGCGGTGGAAATAATAATTTCCGAAAGTACAAACGGGTTAAAGCAGGTAACCCGTCGAACCCGAAAACCAAAAAACAATTGGAAAATGAGTTGAACCGCCAAAGAAGCTTTTTCGTCAACTGCGGTCCGCAAAATGTATCCTCTACCCGTTACAGCAACACGCAGGAGGTACCTACATATTGTATTGTTTACTTAAATAATTTACCTTCGTATCATAATAATTATACTGTGTTCAGAGCCAACAACACCGAAAACCTAACTACACTCGAAGACATAATAATACATAACGATATCTATGCATTATTATTCTCGTTAATATCATATCACTTTCGTTTAATCTCGTATGCAATATTATCATATATATTATGTAAAGGTAAAGTGATCCAACACACAGTACAGCATCGTGTAATGACAATATAACAAATCGTATAATATTGTTAATGTCGATGCGATCAATTTATTACTATTATTTTTAATTCTAGTCTTCTCTGTTGGTTAGGGAGGCTATTTGAATAGGAGTAACAGCAGTGTTGTAGGACAAAAGAAACATCCCACGCTTGCGATTTATCGTCCACCGAGTATGTATAGACGTATAGTCTCTATTTAATATTATAATATATAAAATATGTGAACAAAATTGTTTTCGTCGTACTACGCGAACTGCAGTATGAAATACAATATAAACAATTTTAACAATTTTAACAAATTAACAAACGAGTTTTAAAGTTTTAATTTGTGCGCTGTGTGCGCACATTAAATTTGTATTTTGATCTGCCATCATATCATTATTATTATTATTGTTATGACTAACAAATTGATCCGCCCAATTGCAACGGTTTTATTGTCCTGTTTGCTTCAATATGACGTGATGCGTAAAGAACAGTGCTATAACAATTTTGCTCTTTTTAAATCTCACTCGCTACATATATTTTTTATTTTACACATATTATATTCAGTATAGAAGTAGGTAGGTGCCTGTTAATTATTGTATCCACCTACTCCTGTAACCTATATAACAATTGAAATCATGTTATACAGAGTGATTAAAGTTAAATGACCTGTCTTGTACCTACCTACGATACTATGTAGACATATTTAAGTATGTAATTTGGTATTGTTTATAAATTATTCCGAATAATTGATAGGTGGGTACATCGATATAGAAAATTCTATATTAATATTATATTTCACAACTTAGGTAGATATTCAAAGTCATGTATTTTTTTTTTTTTAAATTTCTTAAATAGTAGATAACCAATATTGCTTATATCGATGTATAAAAAATCTGTACAGTAGTATAGTTTGGTAACGAGTTTTGGAAGTTGTTATCTGATTTTTTAAACGATTTTGACTTGTGCACATTAATGCACTTAAATAAGCAATTGACAAGACGGGACGGGTTTCAAACATAAATTACAGGTCTCATTTCACATGAATTAGTGCATACAATTACTATCAAAACAAATTAATGAGATATGGTATTCTTTAAAAGTTCAGGCCGTTGTGAATGTTACTTTCGGTCAATGAAAATAATTAATTTGGCATACGTACTTTATCATAGATTTTAGACTACCATATTCACAGATTTAAGATAAAAAACAACATGTTTATTACAAACACGATTAACCGAAAATGAATTATAGGCAACATATAAAATGTTTACTTTTTATGCTACTTTACATTTGAAAAATTAGTATCGAACTTCGTTTTGTCAATTATTTGAACAAAAAACTTTCATCATTAGATAACCGAAATAAAATTGACTGACTTTTTAGCATTACACGGCCTATCTGTACTAACAAAAATTAGTGTGTTAATGAATCATACTGTAGTAGTATAATTTATATAATTGATATTTAGGACCATTATATCCACTGCTTACCTAGTGTGTTTGGATGTTTAGCATGAAGTCCATTTTATTAACGGCGTGAATTTGGCATGACGTAGGTGTTCGAGGTGACATAAATAATAACAGTGATAATGTATATGTAGCCAACGGTCAGCAGAAATCAAAAAATGTCCAAGATGTAGCAGACATATCTGAAGACAACAGTAAGCTGAACGTGCACGCCAAAGAGTTCTCCTTAGAACGTTCGAATACCGCTCCTCAGTCTATAGCGAATGGTGTAAAACCAGAGTAAGTTTGTTCTTTTTGTATTAATCTTAATCACTAGACAATTAATATAATATGTTCTATAAAGTAGTTATATATAAAATATAATATAGTGAGCGATAGAGAATTAAGTCAAAATATCTAAAGAAAATATTTTAAATACAAATAATACGAATTTTATATTTTCATAAATTGTAAATCACAATTTATTTATTTAAGATGATTTGATCTTCGTTTAAATGTATATGTTTCGAAAAGAGTTGATTTCATAGTTACTTCGCTGTACTTTTTCACATTTATTTTGTCTACGTATTGAAAATATTTACATTTTTTCGAACTATATCAACGAATATAATACTATCGACAATAATTTGGTCATAATAATAATATACATAATATTTCCAAATCATCCACACAATTTATAGTAGGTACATTAAGTACATACACTGTAAAAATAAAGTACTATTCAGCTGTACAGTGCCAAGTGTGTCACTGTAATGGATGTATTGAATTTGAATTAAATGATATTATGAAATCATTGTATACGAAAAAGAAAAATCATTCTAATTGTAGACTGTGTGTCAGCCTAAGATATTTTATATTATATATTATATTAGTATCAGTAATAATAATATTTTTAGGTTGAATTCATGTTGGTTACAGTACAAGCTAGTTATGAGAAACCTTGATTTACATTTTTAACCTTCAGATATAAAAATTGAACATTTTATACTAGTGATGAGCAAACCAATACCAAGACCAGAACTATGGCAGTCTCGGTCTTGATATTGTTCTTGCAGACTCAGTCTTGGTCTTAGTCTTGCAGAACCATTTATAGTCTTCGTCCTGGTCTTGGTCTTGGTCTTGCACTTCAAGTCTTGGTCTTGCAATATTAAAAAAAAAATGTTATCAATATTTATGCTATGAATTTGTAGAATTTAATAATTATTATCTCAAAGGTATAATTATATTAGTACAAATATATATTAGTACATTATATACATATATATTATCTTTATATACATAATTCTACTGTAGTACGCGTGTATGTAACTGAACACTTCCTAAACAGCTGGACCGATTTGAATGCATTTTTTTTGTATGCGTTCGGGTGACGCCCTGGATGGTTTGGATTCACAATTGAACCCGATTGATCCGGGTTAACCTAGTTGCTCAAACAGGGATTTTAAGATTTACGAACGAAATATTTGTTTATATACGGTTGCTATTAGTTATAGGAGAAATATAAATATATTTATTATTTAGTAGAAATCGATATTTTTTTTTTTTTTGTTTATTGATTGCCTGCAGTATTTTATCGAGCAGATCGGATATAAACATGCATACAATTGCATTTTCGCATCTAACATTGGTCCACACTAAATTACGAGTTTCCTGTTAACATTTTTAAAAAAAATTACATGAATATTGCAAGACTGCGAGACTTTTGCAGTGTGGGTCTTGTTTTGGTCTTTGTCTTTCAGACTCAGCCTTGGTATTGGTCTTGCAGCAAGACCAAGACCAAGACTGAAAGAGCGAGATAATTTTGACCATCACTATTTTATAGGTACATTTTAAGCCACAAAATAATTTGTAAATTTTCGTGATTTTTACGAACTTTATGAACAATTCAACTTATAATGCTTATAAAAATAAATCTTGCCTATATGAAGTATCTCCAATATTTTTTAAATGCTATAATAAAAACTTATACCTTTAGAAAAAAGCTAAAAACAGATGAAAATTTAAAATATTTATTATTAGCTGAAAAAGAGTTTTAAATGTTATCATGTATAGATAATAATAAATAAGACAACTAAATCTAGGGTAATTAATTTTTACACCAAAAAAACAAATTCGATTTAGTTGAATACCTAGTAGTTTTGAGTGACGAAAGTTAGGTTAGGTTATTTTATTTAAAAAAAAACTGAATGTTTTACTTTCAACATATCAAAGAACCACCTATAGATTCAATTCTCTACCAAAAACTCTCCCACGACTTGGAAAATTGTGCTGATCCAAAAGGAGATGACAGATAAAGAAACAATCATCATGTCCGCTTAGAATCTTTGATTACCTTAAAACTATTTTCTAACGAATAGTTTTCTTATCTCTATAATTAATTAATGACAAGTTAAAATTAATTAATTTCTGTTAACAACTGTCATCAATGACCTAATAAAATAATTTCTATACTTTTTATAACTTGTATAAACATTAAACACACTTATTCAGTATTTACATATTAAAAATAATGTAATATTTAACGAGAGTGTAATATATATTTCAATATTATTTGTACACAACTACTCAGAAAGTTTAATAATAATTAATTATTTAAAAATAATATTGTGGTAACCATTTCAGAGGAACTCGACACAACGCTGCTACGGTATTGTCAAGATCGAGAACATTCTATACGAACGGTGATATTAAACCTAATAGTCCAAACAAAAGTTACGATTACAAGAATAAATTTTCGTACAACAATAATTTTCAACAGGCGAAATACATACAACCAAAAGATACTCAGGTAATATCCTTCATACATTTTATACTAGTGTGGATATTTTATAAGCAGTAAGAACTTGAACGACGGTCGTAAATAATTTAAGAACAATTTTAGGGTCCTAAAGTGCAATTCAAAGACTCTAAACCAAAATCAAAACCTATAATGAAGGACCAACAAATTAATAAATGCGTGACAGATTCAAAAAATGACTTTGGTCTAAGAAGGTCGAAAACTTATAATGGTCCAGATAGCAAATACTACCATAATACTTCCGATGAAACACGCACGTCGTGGAAAAGTCAACCAAACGAATTTTGTGTCAAAGACTTAAATTGTTTTCCTGAAGACATAAACGATATGGCCAAACGCATAGTAAAAGGTATACATTAGCAGTTAAACACTTATACCTATTTAATCTCTTTACAATGTAAAACGCACTAAGTATAAACTCGATATTTAAATGTTAATCGTATTTTGAAATAATTTAAAATACTAATTTTTACTATTCCTTGAACTGAGGGAGTTTATTTGGTGTATAATACGCAAGTTTAAGCACTGAGAGTGAGCACACATTATAAATTGTATTTCCTATTGTAGATACGAAAAACTCGCCAACAAAAGACTTAATGCTTTTGGCATTGAAAATAATTGAACACGTGGTTAGCAACCAAGATGCTATGAAGGCATCGGTTAATTTATCTCTCTACATAATTGAGGTGATTTTTTTTTTTTGTAACGTCGTCCTGATAATTATTAATGATTTGTATTAATTTTAAGAATTTAATAATGTAATAGAGAGATACAAGAGACACTTACGTGAATATGATCATCAACACTATCCAATTGTGGTTTGTAAAACGAGAGAAACTCTTACAACCACCCAGATTTTTTTCATATGCAACATTCGTACTGAAAATGTACAAAGGAGTGAGTAAAACTTTAAAGTTTAAAAAATATATTGCTAGATAACTAGATAAGCATCGAAAAATGAAAAAAATAACAATTTTTCTCTACTCAATTTTATGTTGCAATCGCGTATTACCTAAATAATAGAATGTGAATGTACCTATATAATATATTATAATATTATGTTGTGTAGACAGTGTATAAATTTAAACCATTATATATGTATAAAGACATGCGGATCAACAAGGTTTTAGAGCTCTAGTAGAAGCTGAAAAGTGCCCGAATGCCCAGCGAAAAGAAATATAAAATAAATTTAAATACATACTGTACTTTGACTTATTGTTTGTTCCCATAAAATAACTAATTTTCTTTATATGTTAATATGTTAACAGATGAAACAGAATAAAGTGTTATCGAACAGAATGGAGAAAGAGGCATACTCTCGAAAACAAGCTCTACTCATGTTATTGTTTAAAATTTGCGAACACTGTTTAACGCCCAGCAAGGAGAAGAACACAATTGAAGAAGTAATAAAAAACTACATGATAAGAATTCCGAAAACGTATATTTACCGAATAATTGTTAACACTATGTTATACGGATAATAATAAGTATTGAAGGATAAAGTAAAAGTGGTATTGTAGATATTTTAAACAGGAAGACAGTAAGAGTGCAGCATTGTAGCCATCGCAGGTACCAGCTAAGTTTTTTAACTTAAAACTTTTTAACTGTGATGAAATAATATTCGAAATTTTGATATTTTTAAATATTCAAGTAATTATTTCACTTGTATATTATTATTGTTTTGATAGGTTATTGATTTTTATCAATTGTTATACTTGTATTGGTTTTCATCTATAAAAATGAACTGAACATATAGGTATAATGAGTGATACAATTGAAGCGTAAGACACCCATTGTTTAAAAAAAACATTAAAGTCTTTGAAAATATTTTTTTATATTTTACATGATAAAAAGTTGTTAAATAAAATGTTCCCTATTTTTATCATTATTTTTTTTTAAAGTTATTACATTTTTAGCGACAACATTCATCTATCCAAATTAAGTACTAGAATAAACCTCAAAATGTTAGTGTCGCTATTTCGCTCATATAAACTGTAAAACTTAGAAGTTATACAGAATAAACTACTTGTCTAATATTATTTTTATAGATCAAAATACTCCGAATAATATTGTGCTTAGTAATAAAAAATTATAAATTGTGTATTGTTGTTAGATGTTGTAGATGTAATTAGATGGGTAATTAGACATTTGTGTCAACGAAATTTGGTATTTATAGGCACAGGCAACAGCCATATTTATATGTTTATATGAGTTTTTAGTGATTTGATATGCAGTGATTGAACAAAATAAATGATTCATTTTAAATGTGGACTGTGGTAAAAGATGACATATTGAATGACCATGATTTTACTTAACTTAAGTATTATTTTTAAAATTAACAGATGAGTTGAGTTAAAAAGTTTGAATGAAAGTAACTTTTAAACTCTACCTAACCTAATCTAACCTAACCTTTAAAACTAGTTGTTGCCCCCCCCCCCCCCACCATCTTTGATACTTGCACGTACAGTGTACTCTCGATTATCCGCGGAACGGGGTGGCAGGACATCCACGGATAAACGAATTCCGCGGATAATCCGCAAAACATTCGAGGGTCAAGTATTAAAGGAACATGACATAATATATAGGTACTACATACATATTATGTATTAATATTAAACAAATTTTACGTCGTCATCGTGTAAGCAGATATCACAGATTACCACCCGATTAAACCGATAGACATTTAAAGTGTAAATATATGTACCTATGCATATATATTTTTTTGTATACATACAGGTGTGTAGATGATTCCGCGGAAGAAGGCGGATAATCGACGGCCCACTGTTTTTCAACAGTATTCTGCAGGTTGGACTAATATAAAAATATGTTGTTCCTTTCAGGTCGAGTGTCTGTTTAACATCGTGGATGGCGTTGGACGAGACCTGGAACAAGATGTGCCGGAAACGCTGAAACAACTGTACGTATCCATCAGGGACGTTATGCTGACACGAGACTGTTCGGCTCTAGTGAAAAAGACTCTCCTGCATCTGATCGAACTGAAAGCGTCGCAATGGGCCCTGCCGCCATCCACGATACATTACTACAACTCAAAAACAAACATTTAGCATCTAATATTTTTGTTTACCGCGCCGAGACCACACTTTGATATTATTTGAAAAATAATATTATGTTTGATTGTGATAACCCTTGGAAAACATTTTGCATATTGTTTTATGTATTTGCAGGTATTTTGGAAAATCACTTGTATATTTTACAAACTGAATTATATAATCGAATTAACAATAGTCTTACGAGTTACGAAAAACAATAATTTTGTTCATGAATCTGTATAATATCAATTATCAACGCTACCTCATGGTAGCTACCTACAGCATGGTAATATTCGATAAAATAATTTGGCAAAGTGAAAAATAGAATAGCCAGAATGGGTATACGTACAGCAAGTATATTATGACAAATTCATAAAAAATATCTTTAGCTTTATTCAAATCTTGATATCCTTATGATTCACGAAGCATCCAATATTATTTCACGTTACTTATTCTATAGCAGGTATTCGAAAAAAAATATGAACGTTAGTTAATATTATATTGACACACATTGTTCTAGAAAACACTCATGTCTTAATAATTTGTACAATATATTTAACGAGTTCTTAGCTATTTTACACAGAATGGTGTTTTTGACCTTCTTTAGGATAAACATTTTGTTTAGTCAATAGAACTATACGTAAGTCATGTGCGTCTATTATTGTAACTTCATTCCTAGTCATATTATAAGATTGCAGTTTTTTTTATACCTTTTTTCTAACAGATTTATTTTTATGAAAACTTCCTGTATACGTTTCAATAAAATGGGTATTCTCATAACAATATTATCCACGTCATTAATATTATGCACGATAAAAAAATATTTTTATACGATATATTTATTTATACATTATTAAGTGAAATGTATTGTAATGTAACATGAATAACTAACAAGTACATTTAACGCCTGTGGAACTGAATACGTTGTAATAATATTCTTATACCTATTGTATTGAAATAATTGAAACCAAATAGATATTTAAATTATTTTTTGGGAATGTTTTTTTTTTTTGTTCGGGATGTATTGGCTATTGAGTATATTTTATAACTTTATAAGTATATCACGCGTTCTGTAATATGACGAATTTCAGAAGAATTATTTTCACTGTATCTTCTATTTTTAGCAGTTTGAAGCGAAACACATTTTTTTAAATTTTCACACTCAAAAATCTATAAACAGAAATTGTTATCATAATATGGACTATTATGAAGTTGATTCATTAATGTGATTTAAAAAATGATGAATAATTTACATACAAATAATGTGTATAATAGTATATTATGTAATCTACCAGTCTATTGATGATTGTGAATTATTCAGATTACTAAATATCGGTCCAAAAGCCAGCTTTATTTGCGCTTTTCAGTCAGTAAATTAAAATGTAGTAGTGCATGACTATTCTTATATTGAAAAACACGAAGTGGCAATTAATGAACTTATATTCGTCTCATTATAACAAGTATATAACTTTTAAAATTTGAAAAAATAAAATAAAATAGGGAGAGCATGCTTGAAAAATACACATGTATAATCGTTCCGCAGTTCCTCTCTGAATCTTAATATTAATTCTGAATTATTCGTTCTCTACAAATAGATCCTAAACCGACCGTACTTGGCATACTAAAAGAGCATTTGACATTTTGACAACTTAATGGAATGTTCAAGATAACTAGAAAATGTCCAAATTTGGTTGATAAATGAACTCTTTTATTGAACTACACGAAGTGATCACTTTGCTCACGTATATTGTACCTAGAATAGATAACTATGGTGTTGATTTATTTCAGTATTGATTTTAAAAAACCTATGAATTGGAAAAATTTGACTACAATATAGAATCATAAATTTGACTCTTTTTACTACATTTTAAAACGATAAGCAATTTATTTACCCACCAAATAACACATTCATTTGTCATATTATATTGTATTTATACTTTTGTACTTACGCTAGTTACTAATTATTTTCCTTATGAAATAATATTATTGAATCATAAAATATGGAATTTCTCTTATCGTTAATAACAATATAACAACCACCTAGTAAGTAACATGTGTCGTGTTTGACAGATATAACAAAAAATAATAAAAACAAAACGCTAGACGGAATATATTATAGTGTATATTGTATTATACTATATAAACATAAATTAAACGTTTAAATAATAAATTTGGACATTTTGCTGTGTTTGGAAAATATTTTACCATACAAAACAATTGCCTACAGTTATTGTAATTTAAATTACTTAAAATATAAATAACTAATTACTAAATAATACAAATAAATATTTGAATACAGTTATCGATTGCGATCCAGCAGTGATGATGCGGACAATCATCGTCCACTATCATCTTCTGGGCGTCAGATATTTTTTAACAACAACGGAGTCGTTTCACGTTAGGTTCATAATACTATATGACTATAAAGTACAAACAATATCGAAACCATTATATCATAATATTTTAGTTGTCGAATGAGTGAGTAGATTCTGCTGAAATATATTGATTCACACGTATTATAGTATTTACAGCATAATAAAAAATATATAAACGGGTACTCAACAATTTAATTTTTTTTTTTTTTTTTAATTTTGAATTCTCAAAAATGTTTAGGAACTAAAATTATACGATTTGTTACGCATTTTTGTTTCATTCCACAATTATATAATTGAGATGTAGACGAATTCGGAATCTCTAAGCCGATATTTACACACATTAAAATAAATAAATACACTTACACGCACACACACACACACACACACACACACATACACGCAATATTATTTTTACGTTTGAGTAAATCAATATTATACGTTTTGGCGTGTACGTCGTCGTAAGACACGTAATCGAACACAATCATTCATACACACACATTACATGTAAAATAATAATAACACTATAAAACTATGGACTAAATTTTAGAGGGATTTTATCTAATGTCTTCTTTGGATAAGTCTAAGTCTTCTTCGATCGGACTGTCGTCGGTCATCGCCGGCACGATTCTCTCCTCGATTAGCGTAGCCCGTCCACCGGACTGTTGTGCTCGCTGTTCCGGACGGTCATCGCCGAACGTCAGCGGTATGTACCTCTTGGGACTCTCGTCCAGTTGAACGTTGACAACTTGTTCGGACGTCCTGTTTTCATTGAACAAAAACCTGGAAACACGTGTCCAATAATGATATTAAAAGGCAGTCGTAGTAATTATCGTAATAATATGACATAATGTTGATCTTATGAAAAATGTCCGGATCAAAAGTTTGATGAGAATGGAAAAAAAGAATGTCAAAAAAATGTTAAAAGTTAGAAAAATCAAGCATATACTGAAAAATCTCTGAGCAAAGTGTTGCTGGTGACCGAACTTTTATTTTATAAATCAACATTACTCAATACAGTAGAGCCTTGATAATCCGGACCCCCGATAATCCGGAGAACGCGGTAATCCGGACGGCAAAATTCCATTTGTTGAAAATTAAAAGTATTGTTCAGAAAAAAATTACCAATTACAATACTTAAGTTCTACATACATATTATTATAGACATTTTTTTTTTTTTGTAATTCATTAATTTAGTTTTAATTTAATTATTATTCTTGTAATTTAAAATGCAATAAATATAAAGATGGTGAAATTAAAGTTAAATCTTAGTCATTTGAGTAGATAATTTTGAAAAACCTCCGGCAATCCGGAAAATCGATAATCCGGACGATGCTCGGTCTGAATTCGTCTGGACTATCGAGGCTATTGGTTTATTATTCATTTTCGGTATACTGACCTCGGGAAGTTTTTGAGAGCGCGTTGCGCACGTTCCTTTGTCGGCCACATGAACGGCGAGAATGCCATACGCGCATACCTCTCGGCCTGTTCAATCATGTTCATCAGTTTTTGCGGTAACAGGTGAACAATAAACGACCGTTCTGCCGTGGTCGCGGACGACGCGTTACCGACATTTTCGTGCGTCGGTGACGGCGAAGACGTTCCGTTACCGGCGCTACTGACGGCGGCGGAGCTTCCGTCCGGCATCCGGTACATCCGGAAACGGCTCTTAGGCCGGAGCACAGGTTCGCGGATCTCACCGGCCGTCCCATTTCCGGTGCCCACTCGGCTGATCGTCGTCTGCGCCACTTCGTCGTACGGGAACTGATCGTCCGATTCTGCTGCGGCTGGACGAACAACCAGCACGCCACCGCCACCCGCAGCAGTCCTGTTGGCGGTCCGGCCCGCTCCGTTGACCGAGAACCCGCGGCCCGACTGTTCACGCCTGTCCGACGACGGGTCCAAGCTATTTCCGGCCGGACCCGCCTCGATGTCCACAAGCGGCATCCACGGCACGTTCATGTACTCCTTGATGCCCACACCTAGTGTGGCGCTCAACCCGGCTGATCCGGCGGCAGCGGTGGCCAGGTCACCAGGAGCAGTCAAGTCCACGTCACCGCCTCCGCCGACCGACAGGTGCGCGGTGGACGTGTCGTTGACGTGCTGCTGACCGTACTCTTCCGGTTGGCCGCCGTGCATTTGCAGGTCCGTCTTGTCACCAATGTCGCCACCCTGCAGCGATTGACAGTATTGTTATGATAATGTTATTCATTCGATATTATATATTATCAAGAAGACGAAAATATAATATTATCACACCGGACTTAATTACAGCGAGTACAATTATTGAAAAAAATGTTCTATTGCACCTCATTTCACCACCTCTCAGCTTGTCGATCGCACAAGAGTCTACATTAACCTATTTGGATGTGTGACAATTTATCGGTATTTTTCAATAAACATGCAAATTTTATAATATTTCCTTTGTTATAGGTATGTTGTAGGTCGTGTTTTAATATTATTAATTAATACACATAGGTACATAATATTATATGGTATATGTACACTATGCGTTTTATTAGAATTATCAAATGATAACAATTATTTTCAAAATGTATGCACATTGCACAATGATAATATTATGTTTGAATGCGTTATTTTAAAACTTACATCATTTATAATTGGTAAGTAAATTAAAAAAATAATAAATGGGGTTAATCGAAAAAACCAATAAAATGTCATAGGCCCGAAACCTTTATAGGCTCAATTCTTAATAGCTAGTTAAATTAGCCACGAATGTGACTACCACGTTTATTGCGTACAAGTTAGGTTTAATTATTTCTTGTCTCGGTGGTATGTTCAGAAAAACAACAGCTAACATAATAATGGTGTATAAATATATACAATGAGCTCATAATATCGACTATGTATGGGGCCATGGCAGTGGTTTTTTCAGAGGGGAAGGGTGGGGATGTTCTGCAGATTTTGCCTTCGTTGAAATGTTTCTCAAAAAATGTGGAGCTTATTATGATGTAGTTATGTACAAGCTAAGGAAAATAATGGAAACAACATTCTTAAAGATACCTATATCACCAAACTCTAATATGATGATCAATGATGTTCTATCAGTTCCCTTATTATCTTATGATATATGAATAAATGTATACAACATGACATGACTGCGTTGCTGTAAGTACGAGCAACAGTAAAAATGTAAATCAGTTTATTTTGTCATATTATGCTGTATACTTGTATAATATGAAATTTTTTAAACATTCGATTCAGTTTAAGTTTTTTAACAAGCGTTTGACAGATGTTTTATTTTTAGAATCTACTGCGTTTTAATTTTTAAACATTTCAAAACAAAGAAGACTTTTTTATATGAATTATATAACAATACATTATTTAAATGTTTTATTTTCAAACTCAACGTCTGGCCACTTAGAAATTAGAATAAATTAATGTAAATTTTAATTTGAAATAAATGTTATTGCATGTAGTTGTGGTTCTTTAAGGACATATTTCATGTAAATATCTTAAACTTGTTTCGGAATAGATTGAAAAAAAACTCCTCCAAACCCTACAGCTGTTAGTACAGGAAACGATACTACGTCGAATACAATACTGTTACTTGGCTATATCAAATATTATAATAATTATAAATTTAATATTAACTGTTCGGTATCATAGGGCCCTTACTAAACGTCATTGTCTCCAACGAACAGTGCCGGAAGGCAAATTATAACGATTGGCAGAACAATTTTAAAACGATACCACAAAACTATAATAATAATAATAGTAGTAATTATAATAATTATCATCGTTCACTTACGTTGATCTGCAGCAGCAATTCAGGCAGGTTGCAGTCACCTGGGTATAGAGGCAACACTACGGGCACTTCTGACTGCATGACTAGGCCTCTCTGGCAAACGGATTGGCTGCACATTATTAAAAACAAAGTAAATAATAAATTAAATTGTAATAAATTTGACAAAAAAAAAAAAAAAAATATTGATTTTGCAAAATGTCTAATAGAGTTAAAACTGACGAATAACCTTAAAACACTTAATGTAGTAAAATAAAGTGGGCAAATCCATCATCCTTAAAATCATTGCATTTTGGTATACGTTGTTCACTACTATTACAATACTTTTTTGTACCTTTTGTGTTATTTTCCCAAAGTATTTTCACGACACTCGTTTTTATCATAAATATTAGTTAATACTTAATAGTATATTTTATGTAGACGGACGTTATTATCCTGCTGTTTTTTACCTATTGCCGTAACTGTCAGTCAATATGAACTTGTCGATGCTCCACTTAGAAAGCCCGTTTGACAGCCATCCTTTGTAAGCTGTGTACGTGATCTGAACCCTGCTGAAGCCCTGCAGCGCGGGATGTGGCACGATGATCTTTTTCATCGTCTCGCCCACTGACAGTGCAGCGTCGTCTTTGCTAAGACAATCACAATGTGTGAAAATGTTATAACTCATAGTCCAAGGTGGGAAAATATCGAAAACATTAAAAGTATATTATGGTCTAATCGAATGACGCTCTTTGTAACATTTTTTTATTATTTTTTTTAATAGGTACTCGTAAAGACGAAAACTGTTACCGTTAAATGGGTCAAAGGTGGAATATGGACGTATCGTAGAGGTATATGACACTCCCTATTATGGATTTTGACACAGATTTCATGCTTGTGGATTGTGAAAATGTCAGGTATAGTAGGTAGATCGGTAAATGGCAAGACTTAAAATGCTACCATAAATCTCATTCCGTTCTACCATGAAGTGTTTATTAATTATTATTAAGTGTAGAGGAGAGGAAACGTAAGTCATTTTAGGTATAATATGCAATCTTTGTTTATCGAGCGTTGGTACTTACTTTGTGATGGTAAACGTTTCGTTTATATCGAGTTGACCAAACAGAACAACTTGTATTTTGCCGTAACTGACCACAGGCAAAGCACTAGGAGAGTTGTGGATTTTGACTATGTATTGGTGCGCTATAATAATTGTGAGCAAATAAAATAAAAGAAGTATTTTGAATAATGTTAAGAATTACAATATCAATAGTTTATTATAGTACGTCGATGTTCTTAAAAAATCAAAAATAATTCAAAGTAAAATTTTCAATATAATTATTTAATATTTATTGTCTTTTATGAGTCGTATTTATCATATTGTTATTTGCACTCAAAAGGGACACGATTCTCGGGAGAATTGAATTAGACGAGATGTGGTAGTATAACTTTGACCGCATTTCAGATAAGCCTTCGAGGACTTGTTTTTAATAATATGTACAATAATGTGTAAGTATATTAAAAATTGTAACAACATTTTTCGTACAACCAACACGGATCGTAATAAATTAACGAAACCAAAATAACTTAAAAAAATTAAATTACAAACATTTAGAAAACGTTTGCTCCGCCATAGAATAATAATAATTAATTCATCGAATAATATTATTATTCAACATATTATTAAAAACTGTTAATACTACATTAGGTAGGTGCCTATAATACACGAATATTATATTATAATACTTCCTATATATTATATAAAACAAAATATAAATTTATTCTAGGTAGCGAAGTATAGACAAGTAATTTGTTTGGTTTACATAACCAAACACGTTATTTTCAATATCGATCGGTTTTGACTGTTTTTATTTTGAAATATGACTGTACAATAAAGTTAAAATAAAAAATACATAATTTTGTATAGGATTGTGAGACATTTTGTACATTTTGAGAATTTTTGGTACTTAATTAAACGAGGACAACTGTTTTACATACGTAGAAACATAAGAAGACCTTCTAACTTTTGTATCAAAACCGAACTGGTTATGTGTAGACACCCGAGTATCTAGAACTTGTCATCATCAAATGGAAATAAACTATAACCAAACACATCAAAATCAAAAAACGGCTAGTTCAAGTTTCTAAAACATTCGTGAAATCTGAAGGTACATAAAATACTTCAAAATTATTCTTAATTAGGTATATTTTCCATTACATGCGTTTTATATTCGTTTTAAGTTATTGGTTATTCGTTATTAGTTTGAAGTCTGTGTGGCCATGTAGGGGAGCCAACTCAAGAACGTATCAGGGAGCTACGTAAAGTTGGCTCCCGACAAAAAAAATGTTGATGGCACCCAAAGTATGGAGCTACAAATTCTGGAAAGTGTGTTACAAATTCTGAGAAGTGTGTTACAAATAGTTGCAAATGAGTTACAAAACAATGGCGTTTGACTGGAATTAATCAGACAATGCCGGGGGCCAATTTCACGCAGGTCTCTAAATTTAAAATTAATATGGAAAAAATATCAACTCAACTCCGTTTAAAAAAAATGTAATCCACTTTTGTTAATTAAAACCTACGTGAAAATGTGGAATGTGGATCGCTAGAGAGTATTTACTATTTTGTGCCTATCAATTGGTTTATAACAGTATAATACTACCATTTTATCAGAAAAAAAAAACAGAAATTATATTACTATTACAATAACTTACTAGTTATTATGGTATTGAATAATTTTTATTTAATACTGTGTTTATTGTTTATAGTAATAATTCGTATGCCAATCATTAAAACCAAATATTTCAGAAATATTTTTAATATTACTCTCGTGCGGGTTATTTTACGCCTCAAAAAATCAGAGTTCCAAATAACAATCAATTAAACTAGCTTAGTTCCTAGTTAAATCAGAAAACTGATTGAGTTAAAAAAGATAATTAACTCTTTTACGAACAACCAAGAGCGTATATATTTATTGCAGTGGCGACGATTGAGAGAGATGACCATCATGCGTCTCTCGATATCCAACTACATAACACACAAATATTTATAGCAATTTTTTTACTACGATATCGTATTAATATTTACCACAAAACGGTTCCTCGTCCCTCGTCAACAGGTACATTTTGCCGCGGCCCGGAGACTTGTCTGAGTGATATCCCATGTTGCCGCACTTGGACTTGTCCTTGCACGGGAAGCATTCGCCTTCCAGAAACTTCTCGTATGACTCGCAAGGCACAGCCGGGAACGCGCAGCTCGGCGACACGCTGTCCGTGAAGAACTTGTACGCCCTCCGGTGATTGCACAGGCTCCTGCCGTACACTTCAGGCGCGGCTGAAATCAAACGCATGTCATATTGACATTATATTTACGGTCCAAAACTCGAAACAACGAAATAATAATATGTTATTCGTAGCAGACGGTGATGAAATTCATTGGGCATTGTCAATGCAGAGACTGGCAGGCGGCGATGTTGAGAAATTTATAAATGTTTAACATTGACGTGCGCCTGTTTACATTGCAGCCTGCTCGGTGTAAGAATCGTACATAAGATCTGTACACTCGTAGATTTATAATAACAACGATTATTTATATGTCTTTAGGCGATGTTTAAGTTAGATTAACAGTGTGACTTTTCACTATACACGGGTAGGAGGTCCCCAATTTTGAATAAAAACTTTTTTTTTTACAATTTAATGTGGAGCGTTTTTTGTCGGTATTTTTTGTGCGTCAATCTAATAGATAATATAACTTATAAGTTTCGGCAGAGCTTATGACATAAAAATAAATCGTATTCAAATAATAAAACCAATCATCTTTTTATAACATGAATTATTAGTATCCACGAAATTACGTAGTTCAGGTAATATTTTTTAGGCCTCACAATTATAACGATTTGTGGTTAACACGTTATTTTATTAATTTTTTTTTTTTAATTATATACACTGTATATAAGAAAACTACGAAGTATGAACTCTAAGGAAAAAGATGAAATAGCTTAGTTATAATATGCAGAAATACACTCAAAATAAAAATTGAATATTAACCATTGGATATGATATAATATGCAGTATTTATTACACTCCATTAGTATGGGTTTGAAGTATTTAATTTGGGTCACTTGAACCACCGATTTTAACTTTAGAAATAGGCGCCAGTGGATTCAAAAACGTAAAGGCGAAATAGTGGTTGGTCTTGAGCAACTGCAGTTGCAATTAAGCGGGTGTGCCAAATTGTATATCTGCACTTACCACTTAAAATTATATAAACTATCTCAAAGTTATACAAAATATTTACTTGCAAAACATACTTTTTTCTACGAGTTTAAAAACACGCAGTGCTATGTATAGTTGTTCGAGTACCACATAAACCTTACAGCATTATGTGTGAAGTTATTGCTTTTTTCGTATATAGGTACATAAATATTGTTTTATTGTTATGTAATATTATAAATCTTAAATTATAATAATTCATATGCAATAAATTGAGAAAAAAAGTCATAAAACCAAATATTTACGTAATTATAATATTTCAAAGAATTCCCTGGGTACCAGAATCCATATAACTTAGATTATCGTTTAATATTTTTGGACTCAAAACAATTTCTTCTGTTCACTATTAAATACTACTATTTTTAATTGACGTTACGTTATTTTTAAGCGATAAGGTGTAATTTATTGTAATTGTATCGCTAGTCGCCTGTAATAAAGGCAATAGTACCTATATTTTGTGATTTCAGGATGGTGTTAAATATGAGTGTTGCTGAAGCTTACCCAAAAAATTATTGCCTGAAATATATATTATTATAATAATACATGTAATTGACTAGGTTTAGATTCAGTAGTCGGTAGACACGCAACTGCAGAATAATGTTGGGCAAGGGGGTCATGTTCTATTATTAGTTATGACAGTTGGCTCACGATTTAGAATAATAATAATTGAAATCAGATACGATATTAAAAAATGAAAGAGTTCGTTGCCGGCCCAGTTGAGTCAGAACGCACCCATTCATCCATCGTCCATTTCGTTATGGGTATATTTAACGAATCTGAGCAATACTATTTTAATACAGTGGTTGTTAAATATCCGACGTAGCGAGATTTCGTCAAATAAACGAAGTTGCACAGTCTGCAGTTTATATATTACTGCATATTTTTGGGTTTAATGTTGAAATTTCGGGTCCACCAATAAATTACAATAACAAGACCACAGAATACGTTGAATTTATAATATCCTATACTGTGATAATACCGCAATAGTATTGTACTAATATAATATAACAATAATATTTCAATGCGCATAATCATTTTACAGGTTCATGACGACTCTACGCGTTGTGCCGAATGCAGGCGACGATGAACCAACTGTGGAGTCGCCTGTGTCAAATCGTAAGAGTTATTAATATTTGGGACGAGTACGAAATATAACGGTTGTAAACTCGTAACTGTGTTTACAAAACAACTCCCATCGAATATTCTATATTTGCATACAATCGGTTTTTGAATTCAACGAAAAAAAATACTTTCACGGCAGATAGGTAGGTGCTATATGTACCTATACACTATACATGTAATAATAGTACGGAGGCGGAACGCTATGATATTGTTCAGTGACCAGAAAGATAGGTACAGTGTTTATAATTTTTACAAAAATTGTGAGGATTTAAAAACAAGCATAAATATAATATAATAATATGATATAACGGTAAACGCGGAAACCCAAGCCACTGTGCATCTATTCAATTGCGTGTAGATAGGTACGTTAAGAATTATTATAATAACCCGTCAAATAAAACACATTAAGTCTACATAAAAAAAAGCGTAAAACGAGGTTTCAGCCGACCAGCTTGTAGTTCTATACCTATCTAACGTATCCCATATTATTATACGGGTCAGTGGGTTTAATGTTGTAGATAAAATTATTTTTATGAATTCTCAGCTGTAGTAGAACGCTTACGATATCATTATAATAAGATATTATATACTCATAGTATGTCTGTATATAATACGATTGTGGAGTTTTTACTAGGTATAATTTTTTTTTACAAATTGCAGATTAATAATAATGACGTTAGAAAAAAACCATTATAATAACATTTATTATCGAGTTAGTCCCGTCGATACCAGTTTGACCTACACTAGCGTAACATATTATCCATGGTTTTGGTAACTATATAATATGAAAACAAGTGAATCTTAGGTCGCCTGATTTGATGTCCGCTCGAATTATATTTGGTTGTATCTATAACTGGTGGTCGGTGCCGATAATATATTTTCAGGTTGATTCAAACAGGGGTCTACCTGCAGCTGTAGTTGTTAAATGTGGTGTAAATGTATTATATTATGTTTTAATAAAATATTAAAGGTTGCTATAACAATATAAGGTGAACCGGTTAAATTCAATCAACCCCAATAACGGACCAAAGTATAATATAATCGTGGTAGTGTTTTTTTTTAAGGTTTTTCGTTTTCTGGAATGCAACCCCTTCAAGTTTATATATCATATTATACACTGCTGCAATTTTAATTCACAATATTATATTACATTGGATTTTAGTATAACAGTATGACAGTGGTTTTTACAAGACGTATAATTATGATTAACCCATGTTGTAAACACAATTAGGTGAGAATTTATATGCATCTACATAAATTCATAAGATTTATTGCACACCATTAATAAACAACCAATTTTTCAACAAATGTCAACAATTTTTATGTCATGTGCCTCTCGTATAAAAGAGTGGTTTTTGTGACACAAACCGTGTGTAATACTATACAGTAAATGTGCACATACCCATATATTATTATTGTAATACAAAATGTTCTATCGTTTTTCAACTATCTAAAAAAAAAACAAATTTTAAAACAAGTGTGATATCTTTGACTTTTACATTATATATAGTTTCTATAAAGACGATGGTACATGCATAATATATAAAGGTGTGTCGTTGGATTGTCTACCTGAAGAAAAATAAGAGTCGAGAAAAACATCGTTACTCAATACCCATAAATACGATGATTCGTCATCGTAATGTAGTTTAGACTAAAATTAAAGAAAAAGAACACATTATCAAGTATAGCATCTAAGAAGGCTACAGAAGTGTTCCCATGTTTGAATTTACCTAAACCAAATTTAAAATATGAAAAAGTATAGGTACCTATATCTGTTCACCAATTTTAATTTTAAGAGATGATCAATTATTCATCACATTTAATATATAAATTATTGAAAGCTGATTGTTCATGATATAATGTCCATTCGTGTAATTAATAAATGTGGTTCACAACCAGTGTGTCACGTAATACCGTAATGCGTATCACCCCAAAAAATTATTCTATACATTTTTTTGGATTTTCATGTTATTTATAAATGTTTAATACTCTTTCTCTCGGTGATTCATATGTGATGCCATTTAATTTAATTGACGTCTGCAATCACATGAGAATTACAAAAATTGAGAATCACTGATTTGGGTAGGAAGGTATAGGTAGGTACATCTCTTCTTCGATTTTACAAAACTACTCGTATATAATATTGAGTAGGTACCTATAATATTTATAATAATAGTAATAACAAAATCGATTTTACTCTAATCCCATCCGACGTCAAGACCCTCGTAATCACTAAATACACTCGAAGATGAATTCGTAGGAGATATATGTCCTGCGAAGATAGCGTTAAAAAATTATATGTAGGTACTCACACCAAATGATGTCGGTGACGGCACCCACGAACAGGTTGGAGCAGCCCTTCTGCATGCGGCCACCGTTTGGGTAGTAGTCCACGTGGCCCATGGGCTGCCAAGCGCCCAGGCCTCCCAGTATGAGGTTCTCGCCATTGGAGTGGATCACATCCACGAACTTGGCGTCCGTCGAGTCCAGCCTGGTCTTGGGGTCCTGGTTCTCAAACAGCGGTCCTGCCGGGTCCAGGCCCGTGATCCTGCTCAGGTTCTTCAACTCGGCACCGGCGTAACCGGCAGCGTGCGCTCCTAAGCTGAAGCCGATCAGGTGCACGTTCTCTATGGGTAGGTTCGCCTTGGCCGCCAGACCGGCGATCAGCATAGCCACCTGTTTACCAACCAGCCGGGTATTGGCAGCGGCCCTCACGTAGTTGGGTATGATCGCCCCAGCCTCCCAGTCTACGCAGATTACGTTGCAATCGACCTGCGACACAGACATGACAGGACGGTCAAAAACCACAGACGAAAATCTTATAATAATGTAGAATCTCAGCCCCCTCAAAGGTCTTTCTATCTTACCCTCAAAATTATTTTAATATTTTTAGATTTGAGAATCTTTTGTTAGTGGAATATGATGGTGAATTGGTGAGTTTCTGGATATTTAAAAATTTTGATGAAAAAAAAAGAAATTATTTATTTTCTATGGGTCGATGAAAATTTGGACTACTTGAATACATTCGGGCAGATTAAAATATTTAAATAAACAGAAGAAGTACATCTTACTGAAAATATGTGTCAGTGTTTTTTAATAATAACTGTATTCTGTAACTAGGAAATAAAAATGGAAGAAATACTTAACGATTATAATTCCATTTCGTCCATCGTAGATTCAAAACAAAATATAGATCTTGGTAGTATTAATATTAGAGTTGATTTTTTCTCGTCAGTACCGATGAAAATGTTAGTGGCCCTAAATATTTTGACACGTTCTCGTTATAGTGTGTTAATCATCGTGTATCAATCTTGTTCTTATATTTTATTTCGTGTTGGTTTCAAAGATTTTTCGCGGGCATGATAATAATTATAATAACTAGTTAGACGTCTGCGGCCTCATATAATATTATAGGTATCTACTGGTTTGTGAGCTAGCACACGCGTATATAATTTAAATTTATGTCGTCCGTTTTTCGATCGTAAAATATTGTGACGCGACCGGCGCGGCGGCGAATAGGAAACACGTGGAAGTGACTTCTTCTGGTGTACAGCCGCCACTGGGTCAACGACGCCAAGTGCAGCGAGTGTTTATACCTAATATTGTTATTATCGTCATTATACAATGTCACGGGGTCGTCACGAGTTTGTAATCGGCACGCAACGAACGGAAAACCACATTCGTCGTTAATGTTTTACTTGAATATTATGGTTTTCGTCTGTGCGGATTATTCGGATACTATAGCGATAAAGGCTGACGACGACGATGATCCATGTCCGTTTTCGACAACCGGGTCAGTGTTATAATACCTAAATACATTATTATTGAACACAATAATTATTATCGTCGTCACGTCATACGAGCGCAGCAATGCAGTAATAGCGATAGAAGCCCTCGTGCCCAAAACGAGATCTATAGTGTCTTGATTCTACACGACGATGATGCCGATGATAGTAATTATTAGTGATGATTCTATGATTTCAAACGGTTTTTTACTTTTACCAATGAGAGATGCGACGGACCATTGAGCGTCGTAAGTATTGTTATCATTGTTATTACTATTTGAGTGCTACATCGAATGGTGAATTTTATTGTGTGAGTATTCACCACCCTCATTAATTCAAAGTCCTTAAAGCATTTCACCAACGTCCGTTGTCGTAGTATAATTTATTTTTTTATTTTTGTCATGTATATTACTTTTTTTTTATTATGTTCAATAAATAAACATACATCATTTACGTCGTTTGATAGTTGTACGAATGAAAAAATAGTTGTAAACGTAATTAGTATTGAAATGTTACATGGCAAACGATAACTTTTTTACGAACAGTATTCTAAACGTAAGTACTTACACCTACTAATATTTTCTCGAACTCTATAATTATTTGGTTTTTGCTTGAATTATTTTGAACGGTGTTTGGGTTTTATCAGTTGCTGAATGTTTTAAATCTTATTATCAAATCTTCATTATTATTATTATTTTTTTTATTTTTTATTTATATAATTTAAATCTGTTACAGAATAGAACAATGAGTAAAAGTGATGAAAGAATAATGGTTTGAGTGAAATACAAATTAAGGAAACCTTTCAGTAAAGGCACTTTGACAGTTACTTATGTACATAAATATCATATCTTTATTATAGTTGAATATAGGTATTTCAAATTTGCTTGGATGAATATTAATTTGGAATTGTAGTTTTGAACTTTATGCAATGCAAGTATTATAGTGTATTAAACTTAAGTTGGTAACCTAACCAAGCCAGCTGACATGGTGCAATTGTCGGTGGAATTAAAAGTATTTTCAAAATTGAAAACAAAGTATTGATAAATACGAACAAGTTATTAACAAAAATAAAAATAATTCTTTCTTAAGTAAAATATCTCATAATTAAACAAATGTTGACCTAGTGTTTTGACACTATACAGTTAAAATTATACTTTTGATCACTAGTAAAATGTATTTATTTTTATTGAATATAATGATTGAAATTCTATAACACAATATTATTACCTAGGTATGTCACACATTGTAATGTTTTTTATTATTTCTAAAGGCTAAACAATTTTTATTGTTAGTTATATTTATATTTTTATTTTTTAGTAAGTACCTATTTTTAATGTCCTTACCAATATATTTGAGCGAAAAACAAAAACCGTGGATAAAAAGTGGAAATTGATCCTAAATGTTATAAAAATATTCGATTGACCAACGATGTACCGTGGCCGTTTTCATTTGGCACACATAGTTTCTTTTAGGAAACGTGCAGCGCTTATACAAGAGGTGGCGTACCTACTGAAAGGAACCACAGCTGTTTTAGATTATATTTTCGTGTCCGCACAGCCACTGACTGCCATCGTAAAAATATTATACTGGCACATCAACATCGTTTGTCCAAGATGCACTTAATGGATCGAGAAAACCTCGCGTGAAAGTAACCATATACCCAGTATTCAGTTTATCAGTCACCGTATAAAATATACTGTATAGTATTTATATATGTTTATAACCTAATAGGCTGTAATGTGGTGGTATAATATTATCGAATCCTGTTGCTAAGACCGGCACGGTGATAGGAACTTCTAAACGATGATCGTAATGATGATTCATTCGACGGTCACGGCTATTTCTTCGTAAATTATTATTCAAAACCATATTATTATTTATTATTTGATCGACATGGCGTACACAGAGAATCGAGGAAAGTTCGCAAATGCACCTAATGTCGTGAGTAAATTTGCATGTGCAACTATATAATATAATATTTTATACGCGTGTGCAGTGTTTGGAAAAAACATGTTCTCGCTCATATTGTGAGGAACGACACGTGAATGTCACTCACTATTAACACATCAAATAGAACGTGAACGAATTCATATTTTAAAGGAACTCGGACGATTTTTAGCTCGTTCAAAATCGTTGAATTTTATTCTATTAAATACGAATAAATAATAATTTATAAAATTGTTTTCCAAACTTTTCCCCCACCGTACACCTTAGAATACATTAAAAATGATTACAGAAAAATGCTAGCCTAACAATAATAAACAATAATAATTCATAGACCTTTTTCGGTGAACATAAGGACCTCTAGGGTTCCGTGGATCACAGTTTGGGAAACTCTGCTTCAAAGGTATGGCATACTAAAAGTGTAATACATTTAATCTGTATTCATAATATAATATCAATCAAAGTTTTTAAAATTAAATTTCATTTCATTTCGTTTAATTAAACTTCTGTATATTATTAATCTGTACACGAAATCAAGTAATAATAATCTCAGATCTAGAAATAATCGAATTTATCCATCGTTTTCTTTCACGTGATTTCATCCCGTCAATTTGCAAATGTATAGATAGGTACTATAATAACTGCTAAGAACACAGGAGGAAACAAAAACGAAAAAAACAACTGGCCAATCCATATCATACCTAGGAGTGTCTCCTAGTGTATGCCGTATATAAAGAAAAAGAAATTTTCCGTTATAAAAACACGTAAGCCAAATAGGTAGTAGAACTGCAAATGTACTATATCTCATCAATACACTCACGCGTGATGTGTACTATAAACTGTTACGCCGATTGTATAGACACACAAGACGATTCTTTCAAAATATACTCTGCTACACGAGATTTCTAAAATAAGTCTCACGACATAACAAATTGAATGGCGAACAAACAGTCTTAGTCGATACAGTGATAAATAATAATAATAATGGGATCCGACGAATTGTCAACTACCGCGGCGGCAGTGTTCTATACCGGGTACTCACCACGTCCATGAGCGCTGATCTCATTTCGTACACCCATACGTTAGAGCAGGAGCTACCAAATCCGTGGACTATGACTTTGGTGGGAGCTGACACGTTGAAGGCTTTGCCGGCCCAGTGCCAGATGGACGTCATATTTGTGAACGCCACGTCCAACAGTGGTGTGTCCCGTCGGCTCCTCCGTGAGCTGTACAATAAAAATCTAGTGTTCACCTGCGAAATACGTAACGATGATATTTTAATAATACGTCAGAATATTATATATCATACAAGTGTCCAAGAACCCGACGGCATTCCGATATAATATTATATCTGCGCACGGTGCTTACCTCATCGGGACGGTTTGGTACCATTCCGATGTAACCGTAAGGGCCGGAAGTGTCGAAGCAACCCACTTCCGGATAGCAGGCGTTCGTTTCTGCCCTTTTTTGCCTGTCGAAAAAAAAAATAAAAATAAAAATACGATTAAAACTATGAAAATTATTTATCCGTGTTAGTTTAATTGACCTAACCGGACACCATAATAAAATAATATTGTATAGTTTTATAATCGATATTCTGTACTAAATAAAGATGTGTATGTATTCAGTATAATATATTAATTTCATTGAAAGCCGTACTTAATATAAATTGTAATTCTATAAATAGACGGTTTTCTATGAATTCTGATAACATATTGTTGTATGCAGGGCCGTCTTTATTGTGGACACTATACACGCCCATGAAATTTCTAAAATATTTTAGGATTTTAGGATACGAGACGGGAAGATGTAAAACACGTGTACTGACCGTAAAGCAAACAAGTGGTTATAAATCTCACAACTAAAAATCTTATTATTATTTTAAAAACAAGTAAGAAATAAAATATGGTTTTGATTTCCTCATTTTTTTTATTTTAAAGCATAAACTGCGTGGTAATTAAGTTATCCGCATTACAGTTAAAATTCATTTACTTTACATTTACATCCAATTACGTATTTATAGTTTAACTATTTATGTTTGCACACTAATTTATTTAATTTTTATTATTAAATTAAAGAAGGAATTCAGATTCATTGATAAATTTTATCTTACGATAATGCAAACAAAGCATGAGGAACGGTAACGTTTTTATTGATGGCGAAGGATAATTTATTTAAAATAATATATTAATTAGCTGTTAGTTTTATTTGGACTAATTGCTTGTTGTACCTATTTGTTAAGTATTTTATTTAAAAAAAACATTTAGAAAGATTATAAGATTTAATTCAAATTAAGCATTGAGCCAAAATCGATTACACGAAGGTTTATTTGGTAATAAGGTATACATTTTTCTATTATAGTATACTTTTGGTGGTTCTTAATTTCTTATAATAATATGCAAGCAATAGAGCATTATAATTGTCAACACTGAATATATACAAATATACCTATAATAGATATGCAACAAAAGTTTGAGAATTAAAGTATTAAACGGTCATCTTCTGGATTAATATTTAAATTTGTTTGTGCGATGTTCTGTACTTAAGTAAACTGTAACGTTGTATTATTATTATATTAAATATATAAAACCTGCGTTACACTAGACAGGAAAAATAAATTGCTTCCTAAATTATAATAGTATAAATATTTTTTAATAGAAAATTTAAGAAATAAATAAAAAGAATACCGTGTTTCATAAATGAAAATGTATCCTCTATAATTGGGCAGTAAACAATTGTCTTAATTCATAAAATAATTAAAGCCCAACGATTTTCATAAGTAAACATTATAAACCATCCCAAACCGGTGGTCCGCAGTACCATACATTTGTTCTTCGATTTCTATTACAATTTTATTTTTTCTAAATAAATTCTTAAAACAATTATTGTTAATGAGCAAAAAAAAATTCTTCCTAGTTTTCGTAAAATTGAGGTGGCCCGCGACCTATAAAAAATGTCGAAGTTAGAAAAGGTTGGGATACACTGTTTTAGATCGAAGGTTTTGATGTTATATATCCGTTTTATGAATCAAACTTGTGAGCAGTTTTTTATGTACGGACTGACATGAGCCACCAAGCCCCGAAATCGGATGTTAAGATACATAAACTATACGTCCATGGAGTGTTAATTATTCTTCAATATAATATGACTTAGACTAACCTAACCCGTTTAAGATGTAAGTACCGTTATATGAGAGAAATGACGCATAATATTAAGCTTCTTTGGAATTCTGAAATCGGGCAGATGTTAATTCGACCCAGAAATTTCAAGTAATAAAAAAATGAGTAGTGAACTCTGCTCGATAATTTGAAAAATGATTCTCATGACCATGATCCTATTGACGATGACGATGATATGCAAGTATACAAATATGAAACCACTGTGGTCAAACGTAAAGCAAAAGAAGATATCTGCACTAGGCCAAATACATGTCTTTGTTGCGTGGTTAATAATATATCTAAACCTAACGTGTAAGATCTTCAAGTAATTTATATCTAATGAATATGTACAAATTTATATAGAAAGAAGTCAATGCCAGCACTACCGAACCCCATCAGTAAAATAAATGAGGTACCTATTAAAGGTAGTAGGTATGCAAATAGTAACATATGAAATAACAATTTTTAGCTGTGATTCAAATTTAAAAATATAGATTTTCTAACTGAAATTTGTGCTAGCTGATTCTAAAAAACATTATAATGTAATAAACTACTAATTATATATGAAAAGATCACGGCATTTTTTTTTTGCCGAGATCAAAATAGACTTTTGAACATTTTTTCATCGGGCGGAATGTACTTAATGTACATTCACTGATTCACACCCCAAAGCGCCATCCAACTTTTGTAATAAATCACATCATAGATTTTTTTCTGCAAGTAAGACCATTTTTATAACCCGTCCAATTCATCTTGGTACATGTTCACATGGCTATAGTTACAAATTTATAAAAAACAATGGTCCAAGCTACATATATTTTTTTTTGCAGTATAACGTCGTTGACAAATACAACTTTCTAAGTGCTAAAACATGACTTTTTTGGACACACAAATAACGTTTAAAAAAAATTGAGTCAAAATGTAATGTTTGTGAAAATGTGTGTATTATTTTCGACCGTGACAGTGCCAAGATGAAATGGACGAGTTAAATATGGAGTTTATTTAATTAAATTCAACAGTTTTAAGAATTTTTTGAAAATAAATTAATATGACACTTGAGCATTTGGGACTTCTTTGACCTTAAGGTTCCGTTTGAAATCTAAGCCTCGTCATAATAAATTTAAAAACACACCCCCGTGAAATATGAAAATGACTGCTCACGCCCATATAATAATATGAAGATGATGATGGATTAATACCAGGCCATAACGGTACAATATTATTTCGAGTGCAGTGATTCTGAGTTTCTGACATCACGACGCGTCGTCGGAATAGAGATGCAGGTGTCTGCCCAACGTTCTTTCATGTTATTATTATTATTATCATATACCATACAGACGCATTCCCAGCCCTAACAGTGAATTATTATTCGGAGGTCAGAATATAATATTTTCAATTAATGTGTTTCGACTGACCTGTGGTGGGCGTTTACGTTCCTTATACCTATATTGATCTTATTCTGATACCTACCCAGTCATAAATTATTATATAAATTATATACCATAATGGAAGTACTGGTGGGTACTATGCGTATTACATAATCGTCGTTAATTAAGATTTAAAATATTTACTCTAGATCGATATTACATGATATGACAATACATGCTAGAATCTAGCACTTGTTGAGTGTTTAGAATTATATTTTTTTTAATTTCGATTTTTTTATCCGACGAATTCCATAAACAATTATTACACACGATTAAATATTGCATTATGGCGTGTTTTGCAAACTATTTTATTTATAATAGAAATAGATTAATTAATGTTCGGAGACCCTATGGCATTCATACCGCACTTTAAAATTAATTGTAGTTGGTTATAGGATATATGATGCTTTAATCTAAACGATAAAAACTCTGTTGTAAACTGTTTACAGCTAAAGGCTGCTATTAGGTTTCAGAATACGGAATTCGCCTTTAAATCGAGTACTTAATGTTTTTCGTTCGGTTCGGCAACCGATTAGAACCATATATACATACACCATGCGGATGGGCACTATACAATGCAATAAAATGATATGAGTAGTGTATAACATAATAATATCATGACCGTTACAACTGTCGCATCTAATAACGTAATATCATAACTGCAGCAGTATTACAATATATATAATATATATAGGTAGGTACTAGGTGAGTAACCACGTTATACCGGGTATACGATAAGCGCACATCGCTTCGTACGCGGATTCTTCTGCTTATTCGTGTATTATTATTATTATTATGCTACGACTTTCTCGATTTTTGAAATCCAGCAAGTGTTATTTTGACCGAGTTTCGGCCATCCGGATATCGTACGCGCATAATATTAATGTAATATAGGCACTCGTGCACTACGCGTGGCATAGCGTGTGTATTAAAAAAAAAAAAAAACATTTTTTTAGCACCTTTTCGATGAGTTCTTTCGCTGTTTCCATTCTTCCATTGACTGCACAACGGATTTGTAGATCTGCAAGTCCGAAGCCTCGTCGGCCGCTTCCAGGTCGGCGTTTGCCCATCTCGTACCAGCGCTCTTCACCTGGTCGTTCACTGTAACACAGTTATAAAAACCAAATTAATCGTCAACATAATATACTCGCCCACGTTCCGAAGACACGTTTTTGTATAATATAATACATTACAATATTATAAACACCGTACACGGCCATTTACAATAATATTATTGTCCTACACACCAGTCGCGATCCACTGGGAATATAATATTATCATATTATAGTCCAAGAAAAAACGCGTCAGCTGTAGGTACCTATTGCGCGCATCGGTGAACTCTGCAGACAGCCGGCATAATAAAAATATAATACATGCCTATAGGTTACCTCTATTACAATACGTATAGTAAATAGTCATTTTAATGAGATGGCTCGTATAATACTACGATTCATTATGTTGCCACGTCCTTTCTTACCCTTCGCCAAGACCTGCAACACCCAAGATCGCCCGAACCGAATAATAACAATACCTAATACAATAGTATAAATAATTATAATTGTTTATTATTATCATTACCTCTGTATGTACGGAGTAGCTGATATAATAATTATGTATCAGTCCGAATTAAGTTTTTACATACGTGATAGAACAAGGCATAATTCACTTCCATCGTCATATTATTGTGCACGGTCTAATGTTTGACCGCGGAATAGGAATTACTTTGAAATTTTTCCTATACGTATACGCTATGCAGTGCATTTTTATAGGTCACCGAAACTTTGACGAGCGATCGTCCTCGCACGAACATCGTGATTCGTATATTATAGTGAGCGTGCAACGTTTGGGTGTATCTACACAAACCTCATAATTTATAAAATACTGTGTACAACGTTTGGTTTTTCCGACAAAAGGAAGATGCCTATCTCAAGATTATATCATTTCGTTTGGTATAGCGGTGTCTTAAACTGTATAATATTATTTTCTTTATGATGAACATAAAAATTAACTGATTTATTCTGCGTTAAGTTTTGAAATTTGTTTTTCGTTCTCAGCGAACATTTGAAGCAAGAAAAATGAATGTAAGTAACCAATTTTTGCTATGAACCAAACATTTATACAGAATATAGGTGGAACCTTTTGTTTGATGATGAATTTAAAAAAAAAGAACAAAGAGTATAAATGCATTTATAGTCAAAATCAAGAATTGACGTGATGTACCTAACATCAAAATCATATGACTATTGCAGATGCTTACAGGTTATCATTAATTTATTATGATATCCAGATTATTACAACCTTTCAGTCTTAGCTCAACAGATGAGAACCGAAAAGTGCTATTTATATCAGTTTTAGTTCAAAAAAAAAATTTGGGAAATTATATACTGATTTAGTGTCTTTCAGTTCTCAATAACTCTTTAAATCGTGGGCCTATGTATACGGTTGTTCACGAGCTTCAATAATTATGGGGTATGGATAAAATCAATCATATTATGACACATACATATAACAATATGATATCATCAATTATAAAAAATGAACTTTCAAAAAAAAAATCTATTTAGCACCTATCGGTTCTAAGTCAGACTATCTTTGCGAGGGTTTTGAAAAAATTACAGTCAGCGTGAATTTTTTTTATGGCAAATCTTGAGATTTTGCCAGACATGCTCGATGATCACGGTCCGCGTATAGCGCCTTATAATACATGAGTATGAATGATGATTGTACACTGATCTGGTGGTTTCTGTCAATTATTTACTAATTAAAATTTAAACCACACCACCACCAATGAAAATATAAGTAAATAATTCTTTACTGGGTTAGGTATATTGAAAAAAAAACCAGAAAGCTTAGCATATAAAAACGTTCTATTTTACACGAAATGTTCCTGTGCATGGATACAAGGTAATTTAAATTATCATTTACAATTTCAAGCCCTATAATTATTACTTTCTGAATATTTATGAAAATTATGAGAAACAACTTAGGCATACATAATAGTGTTGTACTTTTCCCTAATTTGAAGTGTAATTATATAAGAATAATGTAATATAGTATGTTATTATTATACTTTTCCTTATACAATTTAGAAGAAAATTGAATATTTTAAATTTAAAAGTTAACAGTGTTTTCATAGGAGAATTTAAAATTATATTATAATATTATTGTATTAAATTATCAGATAGTTAAGTATAATAATTGGACCAGAAGTTTAGTATAATAATTGGGTATTGAGGGTTTACGTACATCTGCCTTACCTCGTCGTCAGACACTAATTTATCATTATTTTTAATTTTAAACTAATGACGAATAATTTGAAAAATATTTGAAAAAAACTGTTATTAAAACAAACTTGTTTGGTATTAATAATCAGTATCCATTCACTGTACAGCCTTGAAAAGTGTTTTCCAGCGAAGAAAACTACACACATTATTGTGATATATATTATATACTATTCGATCCTTCTATCCATAATCATAAAGCAGATAATCTAAAAGTATGTTTTGATGATTTATTGATTCATGTTAAGGCCACAGTGGAAAGTAAATATTATGAATTATTATGGTAGTTATTTCTAACTACGTTATAGTATTTGATGTGTAATTCCTAATTATTATTATAATAACGACATACATTTCGAATTACTATTTTATTAATTTCATACATAATAATTATACCTATATATTTTTTAAATTATACACATATTATATAATTTCTTCTGATTAAATTATAATTTTAGTATAATTGTAAATATTTTGCAATCGAGATTGGTCCGAATGTCGAAGTTTAATTTAAGATTTAAGATTTAGCAACAATCAAAGCTATTTTAATACACGTTTTTTTGATTTCTGAATATTACCGAAGTTATAAGACATGTATATCGTACATAACGTGTAAATCACCATGATCTGATAATTAATATTGTACGGTTGCGTATAAGATTTAACATTTTTACTAAACCACATATCCCCAGCTTCATAGGTATTTTCAAAATCAGTCCAATACGAACTTCGTGTACCATATTTTTTTGTACTTTTTTCAACTTTACTGTTTTACTTGTACTCTTAATTCTTATAAATTATAAATAAATTTGTCTACGAAGCACGAACTATTCGTATATAATTTTAAATTGATCTCCAGGAGAGTGATAACAATTGGTAACAGGATTATTACTGGAATAATTTATTGTATCTTGCGATGTCTCAATGGCCGCGTTTGTGACACCGCGGGTAACCAATTGAAAGATATTGCGATGTATTTATATCGAAAGCATATTTTTGGGTCTTTGAATTTGTCAAGTGTCATGCTAAAACAAGATCGATCACAATTCGTCGCAAACAGAATGTACAAAGAACGAATTGTTTCATTTTCTAATTTTCCTATCATGCCAACTTTTGATCTCTTTTCTGAATATTGCAAGTAGATATTGCGCAATAGTATAAAAATATGACAATATGGCCACCTCAAACGCCGCTGTCCTTTCAATTATCGAAGAGTAATATTTGAGAACATAAACAATAGATTGCCCATTTTAAGTTACTCTCGTTTTCAATCAATTATTGTGTTGACTCGAAGTGCAGTGATATAAAGGTTATTTTACATTCTCCACTTGCTGATAAAAGTTAGACCAGCCATATAATACCATAGAACATAAGTGTTTAAACATTATGTTCTAAGGCAACAAGTGTGTGGTTTGGTATTAAATTGTATTTACCCAAGACTTGCAATATCGACAACAAAACCATGGTATAGTAATAGTAATTTATCGATGGTTTTGTAAAAACAATGCAATAATACATAGGTATTATAATATTAATATTATTTTTAAGATCATTAAACATAATACGCATAGAATAATCGATCGAAACTATTGATGGATCGTGCAAATGAAAAAAAAAATACATCATTAAATAGGTATGCATTAAGTATAATTTTCACGTTTCAAAGAATGGGCACGAGCTTTCATCAAACCCGATACCTATAATACGTACAACGTACTAAATATGTCAGTTATTATTTTAACATCACTGTACTCGAATTAAAATACATAAATTTAATATGTACTAACGTTTTCGAGATAAACCTGATACCACAATAATCATATGTGCATTTATCCGATTGTGTCGTATTACCTTTTCACTGCTTATATTATTATTAACCTAAAAACAAAATTCCAATGTACATATTAAAATAATGTTGCACATAATTGTATTGTACACATCTGTATACGTTAAATATTATATTAAATGCATGTAAATAAGCTATTGAAAATGCATTATTTACATGTATTAATATGTATTTGTATACTACATCCTTATTAATTGGTACCATGACCTCAAAAAAAAAAAAAAATAATATGCATAAAAAAACTAAATTAGTGAAATTATTTAAAAATCAATATTGCTTAAGTAAAATTAAAAGTTTAAAAGTACAATTTCTGTTACATTTTGAATTGATGTCTATTTTAAATAGTTACCAAAGACAGTCCGTCTTATTTAGTCAGCATTAAAAACCAAATTGTTGAAACGATCAATTAATGTTCGTTTATTTTTACGAAATCTCACATCTTGAGGTTTATAGTATAGTTGAAAATAAACGATTTACAGACGTGGCGATGCAAAACTTAACTTAGGATAATATTTTTTTTCACATTGCTATTTTAAATCTACCGTGTAAATTATGCGATTAAAAATGTATTTGAAATTGTATACTGTGCATTGAATCAACAATATGTATATTATGATACTTATGATAATGTTTACCGTAACAGATTAATCAGGTTTTGTATTGTAATCTATAATTATTATTAATTCTAAATTAACACAACTGATTATCTTAACCAGCTGATATGTATTATATTATTATGAGGTATACTAGAAGATTACATCGTGTATTTAAGAAACTATATATCTATAAAATGCAATTGTTATGCAACTGCGAAAAAAAAATATAATAATAATCGGCGAAAACATTTTATTTTATCAATACACAATACACATCGCACACGTTGATAGATATAAAACCTAAACATAACCTACTTCACAAGTAAGACAGTGTAGCTCTTTAACTGTCATAATATCATCATGCTTACTTTGAATCAG